GAAACATCATATTTAGTCAAAAGCTAGTGACAAATTTGTAAGAATGCAATTCACCCTGGTGCCAGTGGTCTAATATAACATCTCTCATTATTACTCAAGCACTTTGGTGCACTCTTAAGGGCAATAAATAAAAGGGATTTAGAATGTTGTATGGCCCAATAAATCAAAAGAATAAAAAAGTCACAGACGTTAAGAAATGTAATGTCTGGTTGACATGAAATAATTCAATTTTAGGATAGACCTGACCACAGAGATGGCAAACTGACTAGATCTCATATCAGATTTTATCTGGACATTTCTGCACAGATGTGCTGTTTTTGATAATCTCTTCGATCTCTCTCTCTGCTTTTTAAATCTAAAATCTGATTGTAAAGGGCTTTTATAGAAACGAAGGCCACAAACACACTCGTTTTCTAATGCAGCTTTGTGACATCACACGATTTAAAGCATCTGCATGTAGCTTTGTGTATTTTTGTGACTGAGTTAAAAAAAAAACTTCATTCTGTTTTGGTTTATCAGTGGAAGATAAGAAACCACACAAACCTTTAGTAAATTAAGAAACATCATATTTAGTCAAAAGCTAGTGACAAATTTGTAAGAATGCAATTCACCCTGGTGCCAGTGGTCTAATATAACATCTCTCATTATTACTCAAGCACTTTGGTGCACTCTTAAGGGCAATAAATAAAAGGGATTTAGAATGTTGTATGGCCCAATAAATCAAAAGAATAAAAAAGTCACAGACGTTAAGAAATGTAATGTCTGGTTGACATGAAATAATTCAATTTTAGGATAGACCTGACCACAGAGATGGCAAACTGACTAGATCTCATATCAGATTTTATCTGGACATTTCTGCACAGATGTGCTGTTTTTGATAATCTCTTCGATCTCTCTCTCTGCTTTTTAAATCTAAAATCTGATTGTTTTTTTTTTATGTGTGTGTTTTGTTGGCAGGTGATAGAAAACAATGTTATTCTCTGTTCTTAAAACACGCTCTAATATTCAGCTCTTGAGCTTCTTCTACTGTATATGTAAATGCATATAAAATTCATCATGTTAACCATTTCTGGAAGACAAATGCATCCCTTTGTGTTTACTTCAATGTGATTAACATTACTTTTTTGGTATTGAGGCCACGAGTCATGAGTATTATCCTTCACTTTTAAAATTATTTTTTATTTCTTTAGTTCCTTGGATACTTGTGAATGTAATATAAAGCTTGCTGTTTTTCTTTGACAGGATAATAAAATGTTGATGTTTTTTGTACATACATCATGCAATGTCAGGTATTGGTTATGCTACTGATTTCTTGTGCACCTCACTCCACAGAATAATGATGGGATCTTGGATCAATCTTTATGAATTTCTGTGCACTCATTTATTGTACACATGAGAAAGAATGAGAAATTAGGACAGAATGGGAGACTTTGGAATAAAAGCACTGACAGGCAGAAAATAAATAATATAAAACATTTGAGAAAGATAAACTTGACTTTTTTTGACTATCATGCACTAAAGTGTAATGTTGATGATATCTGTCAACATCTGAGTGAAACTTATAAAAATCCATTCACAGGTCCAACAACAACAACAACAACTGCTGTTGCCCTAAAAGACCCAACAGGTCCCTAGGGTCCTGAACTGCCAGCTCTAGGGAACCAGGGACAGTGCCTCCAAAAGAATAAAATAACTGGAGTCACTTAATCATGCAGATTTATGCTACAAGCTTTTGTAGAATTGTACAGTAAGGAAGTTATTTCCCTTAACCAGGAAATTAACATTCTTAGAATTGACAAGACAGTTGACCCTGAGAGGTCAGCTAAATATCTACAGCGGATCTAAAATATTAATAATTAATTATAACTAGTTATGGTTAATTATTCATATTTCCCATGAGCTGATTCGTTACAGACTTTACCAGGCTCAAACCGGGTCCCCAGGCTAGACCGCAGGCTCCCGATTCCTGAACTCCTCATTCAAGACAAGACAAATGGCGTTAAGGTATGTGTAACTTGCACAACTTGCAATGACATTTGAATCAACAGTGGAGTAATTATTCCACATTATCTACCACAAATCAATTCTACCTTTGAATTGTTGCTTCTTGGTTGATACGGTTTGTTATATTTTCAAAAATTAATTCTATCCTCATTCCATCTTTTTTGGCCAACTTACCAGTACATTTTCTGTTAAGTTTACGGACTTTTCCTTCAACCTTAAAACACTACACAATGCAATGCATGGTTTCAAATACAAGTAAAACACCTGTAAAAAAATCTGTATAGAAAATTCCTTACGTTGGGCCGTAGTACATTACATTCCTGGTACACTGGGCTGTCTTTTTCTGACTTTTCTTAGAGTTTCTGACTTTCTGAAAAAAAAAATCCTCATTCTTATGTAATATATTGTAAGCATTAAAGTGGTCGCACAAAATGGCTGATCTATCAATCTCAGTAGATAACAAAAAAATGTAAACCATTAAAAAAAATAATAATAATAATAATAATATATATATATATATATATATAT